TGAGACAGTTTTCTCATCTGCCTCTTCCCACGCAAGTTATTATCCCTTTGCCCAACTCAAATCTAAGAGGAATCACATGATGTTTTTGTTAGTTTTACATTATCCTACAAGCTATGCTGTAAGATTTCTAAATTAACACTGCACATCAACACACAAAAAATAAACTTCTCAGGGCAAGATTTTATCTAAATGTACAAAGCAACTGCTATAACAGGGTAGGTCTCTTGCCCGATGCCTCTGCTTATCCCTGTAAAGGCATATTTGTATTACAGAACCAGGGGGAAAGGGAGACCCCTTCACATCACAAACTATCCACCCCATAACCCGGTTATCAGAAATGCTGAGAACATCTAGGAAAAAGCCACAGAAAATTTGGGAGGAGAGATCCTGTAGGAGGTTTGCCACATGTTGCAACTGCTTCCTAAACTAACTAACTGTCTGTCTGTCCGTCTGTCTATCTATCTATCATATATTTATTTTTCGAACATGCAAAGCGGTAATGAGATCTTGAAAGGTCAATGCGCAACCTTCTCTCATTAGGCACTGGCCAGATGAGCAATGCTCGACAAACCCACATTAACTGCCAAACAAACTTACGAGCAGCATTTCATAGTCATCCTCAACATCTCCATAAAACAGCTGTGGCAGCTGTGGTTTCTTCTAGATGAAAAGCATTAATCCACAGGGGGTTCAGAGAGCAGAGGCTTGTTTCTCCACCACATTAATGCAAACGTCCTGGCGTTTTCAGTTCGAACTGGTAGAAGAAAAGAATATTATAAAATCTAGAAGAAGCTAATAATTCACGGACAAGGATATTTGACCTACTCGAAACCCAGTCGAGATATCCCAAGACACAGTTCCTGTATTATACAGACAGGAGTCTCACTGGATCAGTGAATCACCTAATTTTAACCTGCTGACGAGTCTATGGGATCAGCAGTAACACTAGGACTACAACAACTGACTTAGTGTGCAATTAGGGTGAATCACATAATTGCTTTCTTCCTCATTTTCTCTATTTGCAAAGCAGAGGGAAATACAATACTTATCTCTTAGATACAAAGTGGGGACAAATTCATTATCTGGAGAGCACCTTGATGATCCTCGAGTCACAGGAGTGCTGAATACAAAACAGCAAGCATTTAAGATCTCCACGAAGAGCTTAAAAGAGATAAAAGGGGCAAAGGTCTCCATGAAGATTGTGTTGAAAACCATGAAAACATAGGTTAGAATACTACTCCTGGAGGCTTAACAAAGGGTTGTGCAGAACCTGCTAACTTCCCTTAAGACTGATGAGACTCAGCCAGCACTGGGAGTTGAGCCCAGAATCCCATTTATTAGGCAGGTGCTTTAATCAGATGAGCCACGACGCCCACTGGCAGGCAAGACCCACGCTGACGGTTTCTGCACTGTGGGGAGTGATCTCTTCTCTGATGATGCATGTTCCTGTCTCCTGAAGCCGAAGGGTTCAGCTCTGGCCAGCAGTGACAGCACGTTTGAGGACCGGACTGAAATTATTACTCAAGTTTACCACTCCCACTTCCAAGTCTCCTCTTTCTCCAGAGCCATGCTGCCCTGCTTGCAGTTTGGGATCTTTACAAGCAATACCAGAACTCCAGCCTGGGCTGGTCCCCGGCTGGTCCCCTGTGATACCCTTGACGAGAAAGAAAAGGCACAAGTCACACAAACAGGGACAGGCAGAGGGTAAGGCTCTGGGCTAGACATGCGACAAATGCGTTGCAGACTACTTTCCTGCCTGTTGGTTGGAGGTTGAAAGTATAAAACGAGAAAGAGAAGCTTTGCCAGTTCAGCTAGAACATCATTAGCTTTCCTGTATTGTAATCTTAGCGTCAGGTGCTGTTGTGTTGCAGACAGACTTCATGCTAAAAATTTTCATTATCTGTTAAGTAAAAATGGCCTACACATCAGGCTTTCTGATTTATCCAGCTACACAGATTTACATTTGAGGACTCAGTGACTCTGGCCATTTGCATAGCTCCTTCAGCCTTCCTGTTACCTCCAAATGACAGTGAAAAACGCCTGTCTTTCGGAAACATCCTGCCCGTGCACATCCTGTGCTCTGGGACTCAGACTGACCCTCGTTAACCAGGATCCTTCAATGCTAGTATCGGTTTATTTTGATGATGCTGGATAAAACTGCAGTTCGGAGCTTTAAAATGCGCCCACCGGAAGAAAAAAGATGCTTTGTTATGTGACATATGGGGTAATGCTCAGACACATCTCGTGACAGCTTTCTAGCCCTGGAACAACCATCAGAATGGTTCTGAGTTCATCAACCCAAGGAGAAATTTAGAGAGGAACATTCTCCTATTCCAGCATAACACTCAAGCTCTCCAACTGGAGAATAATCTATAAAGCAACAGCAGGATAGATATGGCCAACAGTCACTGTTACTCGTAAGTGGGGTTGGCATAAGTTTGTAATTTATATCTATTACAAGATAAGAATATGTTAATCTTTTTTTGTTTAGAATCAAGGACTGCCTTTTCCCACCTTTCCACTCTTCCAAATCTGTACAGTTGCATCAGCTAACAAAAGATAGGTCAAACTTTGGAAGAAGATTGAAAACATTTAACAAAAGCTCTAGCTCAGTTTGTTTTCCTTGCGATGCTCAACCTGAGAAAGACCAAATACAAAGGTTGCCCTTTGAAACAAGACTAGGCTACAGGACAACAAGGGATTGCAAAGGAACGCCAGCGCTGGGGAAGAAGAAACCCTGGAAGGAGGTTCCTGAACGCGTTAAGATAACACAAAACCTAAACCACTCACAACACAGAAACTAACGTTTGGTGGAGCAGCAATTCTGGTTAGCAAATGATTGAACCATTTTTCACTTTTAAAGGGGAAAAAACCTCAAGTGTTAACGACGGACAGGGCAATCCCCTCTTATCTCCTCTGCCTTTTCCACGTTCTCTTCTTTTCTTTCAGTGAAGAAGTTAAGATGCTATGCATTAAAAATGTGATGAAGATAAAAAATCAAAATCTAGAACAAAAAACTCCACTGGTCAGTACATTGACTGCTCACCCAGAATACAAACTGCTTAAGAGGGACATCTTTTGGAGGCAGCTGCGTTATCAGTACTCCAAGTTCCAACAGAGAAACACGATGTGAGGATACAGCTCGGTTACCCTAGCACCCCTTAAACCAAGCCCTGTATTTTATAGGGAAAGTACGTATCTGGTTTTGAATGTTGGACCTGTCTAGAAATCTAAATGTACTGATCTCTGGGACAAAGGTTTAATTGAAATATGAAGAGGAATGATAGCAAGAAAGACCCCTAGACCTGGTATTCCATAAAGGGAGCGTTTCCTACAGGATTCTTCCCTTCCTTGGTGATTCGTGACCTTAGACTATTTATTTGTGTTATCTAACATTTCTTAAAAAACCTGATTGCAGCAACAGCAGCAACTTCAGAGCGTAACTCTTCAGAATTCCTCCTCCAGTGTGTATTACAGCCAACTGTAGCATGGGAAAAAACCCCTCCACAAACAAAACCACGTAAAACTGCCTACCGAGAGTTGCATTTGTTATCAGTTCTACCAGAAATGCAAATTTCTGGCCGGATAACTGCTACTGCTTCATAGCTACGTTTCAACAAAGGAATAGAAACCGCAGAGAGAAAAATCAAACTACTTAGTGGCCTAATGGGATGCAGAGAGTAAAAACAATTTGGGACAGACGTACCACCTAGAACGGGAGCTTTCCATGTCCCTTCTCTTCACAACCGTGACCCCCCCAGAGCAACAGAGGGACCCTTAACACAGAGAGATGAGGACAGTAGGAAGTGGAAAGCACACTGCCTCGGCTACTCCTGCAACCGCCAGCTGCGGGTTCATGAATTAGTGAATTTGCTCCCTTCCTTGAGTTGGCTCAATGGGACTGTTACCGTCACAGTAATTAACGGCTGTCACGGTGGGAAAGGTATGAAGTGAGGGTTTTATATGGACTCATTCTTGATTCAAGACTAGTCAGCATTTTAATTGATTTAGGAGTATATAAATCAAAAGCAGAGAAGTGGCATGGGCAGACTGCAAGTGCTTTGGAGGATAAAAAAAATCCTGCAGGATTATTAAATTTAAGATGTAGTATTAAAAAAAAGCAAAACCCCAGTAAGATTAAGGTGGGTACAATGTATTAACATCTAAAGCTAAGGGGAAAAACCCATTGTAAATCAGTGGCTGAACTACATTAAGATCATTACCTCTGGAATGATTTAAGAAGCAAGCAAAGAACAAAGTGTTACTGGTTGCAATTCTTGTAATTAGTTCACTCTGCTACAATTCCAGTTTGAATACTCCTCTGCTCATCGTGAAGAGCACAGAATTCCACTGTCATATTCTCATGAATGAAATAATTGAAAGTTGGCTTCTTCTGTACTAAAATTGCAGCAGTGAGTGAAATGAGAAGGAAATGGGTGGAAAATAGTGTCAGAACAGAAGCAAGCGCACCAGAAAAAATGCAGTATGGGACAGATTTGGAAGCCACCTCGACCAGGATGTTCAAGGCCCCCGTGGGTTGTACACCTCCAATTTTGCATGTCCCTTGGGGGGGGGTAACCATTCATTAACCAGTAACATAGGCCAAGCGATACCACATGGCTGCTGAACAAATTCACATTTTTCAGCTCAGTTTAATTAAAAATCAAGGTCCCCCTAAACAAAAATGTCTATTCATGTGATACTAAATAGTTTGGGTCAGCAAAATATCTTATAAACCTTAAATACAGAGCACAGCAAAACTTCCATTCCTTTGCCCTCTCATGACTAAATTGTAAGTTATATTAACGTTTTCTTTAGTGACTAGATTTGCAGATTTACCTAAAGTACTTTAGAAATTCCTAGCATGTATGACCCAAGCACCTTTTCAAGATTTTTAAGACATTTGTAGTTGTAAACCTAACACTATTTCAATACACACAGTTCAACCTTCTTTTCAAATATGTAAGTGACATCCGACAAAAGATTACATGAATTTTCAGTAAGGTGTCAAAGCTTTATTGAGTTCACTCAACATCTATGAGGATTGATGTAGAATATAAAAAAAAAAGATTACTTCCTTTTTTATTTTAATCTTCAACAGAAGTACAGTAAGTTTTCTGGTGTCTCCTTACAGAATTCTCATTCATTTTCATGCAGACAATTTTTGGTACAAACAGAACTCAGACCAAAAGTTGAGTAATGTAGGAAATCACTGAGGTAAGAAATGTCTTTTCATAATAGTATTTTTATCCTTTTAGTAGACAAAGCGTTGAACATTTTTTCTACAATGGAAAAGAGAAGACAGGTGTTTTGTCCACAGTTTTATTTCACCAGGAAGGTTTATACACTTCTGCATAAAGGTCATTGTATGCACAGCCTGAAGTACAAAGCTCCCTTTGAAAAACTCCAGCACAAAGACACTGCATATTGACAACATTAAACAACGATGTGGGTGGTATAGGGCAAAAAAAAGATTAAAACAAAACAGCATTCTTCCTATTTGGAGAAGCAGAATAAAACAAGGCACTTTCAGTAAATAAGTGAAGAACAGAAACAAGCTGCATCACAGATTCCACAGAGCTGACCCAGAGCACTGTAACAAAATTCTGCAGTAATGAACAAGTAAAATACAAAAAGGCACTACATAATCCTCTCCCTGCAACTCCCCTTTCTCAAGCAATTAGCCAACTGAACTTGGCACAATGGAGTCTTAGTTATAAAGTGCATCTCCTGTCTTAATACATTTTGAAAAATAGGCTATAGAACACATGTAGCAATATCCCCATGTGTACAATATATTGAAACAAAAATACACTGCAACTAGATTCAATCTAGTTACGAACTGTGCAGGAAAAAATATGGCTTCTTTACAAGTCTTTCAATCATCTCCATATAATCTGGAATATTTTTAAACAAACATGAATGTATTAGCAAGATGGTAAGAGGTAGTGTTCCAAGTAAAAGGCAAACTCACCAATTTTGTTGTTACATGGGTATATAGCAAAGGTATCCCAGATTTTAAAAGCAGCATTACTGAACAAAAATTATTACAGCATGCTATCTTGGGATGAAAATACACAGTGTTTTGGGGTCTCATATTAGTTCCTTCAGCAAAAATGACCAGTTTTTTGTTTTGTTTTTTTTTAAAATGTCCAACTATAATCCCATTTCGTAAGTACTTTCCTCTTGGTACTGCAAGTTTTCCTATTGCATTGCATTAAAATTTCCAGAGAAATATTCTTCAACTTTAGAATTTAAAAACAACACGTTCTACACTCTTATGAAACGTAAGATGAGTCCATTTTTACTTCAACAAGCATTAATTTATGGCTATGAGAATATGAAAACACAAATACCAAACAGATGAACACATCAAATGTGTCACATCAGTGGCAACATATGACGTGCTAGTTAGATGTGTTTGGTCATTTAATGGGAAGTTTTTGTCACTCCGCTAGGAAACTCAGCCAAATTGTGTACGTACGCTACCTAAACTTTAGCTAATTTTAGCCCTTATTAGACTTTAATATATTAAATATATAAAGGCTAGATAAAAACTGAAATCAAAGCAGCACTGGGTATATTTTCTTACATTAATAATTTGTAAGGATTTATGTAAACATTCAATATGTGCATTCTTGCTCTTTGCTGTAAATTCTTCACAGCTACTATATGCCCCTATCCACAGAGCATGTCCCAAACATGAACCTTTCCCAGGTAACAGCAGCTGCTACTGATCTATTCTTCTTCATCAGCGGTATATGCTACTTCAGCAACTTCAATTTCTGGTACAGAATTTTCAGCCAAAGAGCCACTCCAGCATGCCTCATGGTTCTCTTTATCTGAGCTGCAACAACACATCAATAAGCTTTGTCAAATGGAAACTAATATGATTCTCCATAGTCATTTTATGCCTGCAATCCACAAAACATTTACAAAGCTTGTTCCACTTATCACTTATTCCAGATCTAAAGTTATCTATCCTGAGGGCCTTTATGAAACATGGGATAGCTACAGAGAGGTGCAATAAAATGCTAAATTCCTCAGCTGTTCAGAATTTATGCAAGACCAAACATTTAAAAACATACTTAAAAAAACCCCTAAAATATAATATAAGTAAAATAACAGTATTTACCAGCTGTCCTCACCCAGGGTACCCTGGTCTGCTTCTACTGCAGAAGACTCCACCTCACCACTGCACTCACTTTCTTCTCCTGACATTTGACGAGTCATGTTTCCTAAAGATAAATCCCTACAACAAATAAGAACAGAGTACCACCAATCCATACAGCAAACATTCATCACTGAAGAGCTGTTTGTTTCATTTTGAACTTTGCAGTTTCTGGGAACCTATCAATCTCACTCCTACATGCCCCATTTCTTTTATTACTACAGAGATGCAGGGCTTGCACTGGATAGCTATTTAAACAGTTTATTTGCTCCAGCTGCTTATTCCTAAACTAAATTCAATCCTCTGGATGCATCACAATTTAGTAGCTTTACAAAATTCAAATCCCAGAGGAGTGATTATGACTTTAGGTAAAAAAATTACAAGCAGATAATTTAAGCCATGCACATCTTGCCTAAACGGCAGAAGAATTACAACCAAAACATAGGTCAGAAGGAAGACAGGCAGGATGATAAAAAGATTTCTTCAACAGTTTCCCAAGTCCCTCACTGTAATTTTAGAGTCACATATGAAGTTTCAGAGCAATACATTTTTCCATTAATGATAAAGAGACAGGTAGTATTTTTCTCTTAACAGCAACACGAGTTGGCAGTCTGACTAGCCTGGCTACAAATGGCAATATGGTCATGTAAAATTATAAAAAACCCCTTGTTTCCAAAATATTGCTCTGTGTGAAAACATCTATCAGTTTATTGTTGAAAGCTGCCACTTGAATTGGAAAGAAAAGCTTGTGAACAATTTTGTGTTGAAAGTGGTATTATTATATTTCACCCTCTTTTTAAATTACTCTAACTACTATTGTTTCTATAGTTTTATTTTAATGCACACCTTTTAAGTAATACCTCAGCAGTATTCTCTAACATGATTACTGGCCTATGTTTGGGCCAAATGCAGCATGATATGTAAAGGCCTGCAAGTCTGATGCCTTGTCCAATTGTCCTCTCCTACCTCACATACATTTTAGGTACCTGGCCTTTAGAGCATATCGGCAGAAGATGCTCACTTCTCATTGGGCCATCAGATCAAAATTCCACTTCAACAAGGCCAAAGGCAGACCCGTTTCTTTTGGGTTCAATTTCCATCAAACAAGCTGAATTTCTTAAACAAGGTCATGGGTTTACTTGGCAACTTTTACAACTAGAAAATCACAGAAGTTATTTTCCATTAAGACTTCAGATACTACTTGGCTGACTTTCAATAATTTTAAACGTCCGGGAAACTGGCAGGGTGTTTGTGTGTTAAAAAAAATCTATCTTCAGGGAAAGCACTAAAAAATAAAATCCCTTTTTGCTACTCATGCCTTCCTATTTTGAGTCTCACGGAATTTCCTATCATGATGTTTTAGCCAAATGTGAGTTATTTAATTTTTATTGGCTATTTCACTGTTTAAGCTAGCAGTAGCCAGAACTTTCTCATCAAACAGGGAAAGCATCTTTCAAATGTAATTACTTGCCTTCAGGAGTAAGTGACAAACTGAATATAGTATTCACATCAGACTTTTCAATAAGCCACAACAATTCCATCTAAATCCTTTTCCAAATGTAGTTCACTGAAACCTTATATCCAAAGATGTGATTTGTTAGTCAGCCCGGATATGCTAGACTCAACAACCCAAGCAGTATTAAAATAACGTCTAAAGGGACCTGGCAATATGGTCATGTAAAATTATGAAACAACCCTTGTTTCCAAAATATTGCTCTGTGTGAAAACATCTATCAGTTTATTGTTGAAAGCTGCCACTTGAATTGGAAAGAAAAGCTTGTGAACAATTTTGTGTTGAAAGTGGTATTATTATATTTCACCCTCTTTTTAAATTACTCTAACTACTATTGTTTCTATAGTTTTATTTTAATGCACACCTTTTAAGTAATACCTCAGCAGTATTCTCTAACATGATTGGCCTATGTTTGGGCCAAATGCAGCATGACATGTAAAGGCCTGCAAGTCTGATGCCTTGTCCAATTGTCCTCTCCTACCTCACATACATTTTAGGTACCTGGCCTTTAGAGCATATCGGCAGAAGATGCTCACTTCTTGTTGGGCCATCAGATCAAAATTCCACTTCAACAAGGCCAAAGGCAGACCCGTTTCTTTTGGGTTCAATTTCCATCAAACAAGCTGAATTTCTTAAACAAGGTCATGGGTTTACTTGGCAACTTTTACAACTAGAAAATCACAGAAGTTATTTTCCGTTAAGACTTCAGATACTACTTGGCTGACTTTCAATAATTTTAAACGTCCGGGAAACTGGCAGGGTGTTTGCGTGTTAAAAAAATAATCTATCTTCAGGGAAAGCACTAAAAAATAAAATCCCTTTTTGCTACTCATGCCTTCCTATTTTGAGTCTCACGGAATTTCCTATCATGATGTTTTAGCCAAATGTGAGTTATTTAATTTTTATTGGCTATTTCACTGTTTAAGCTAGCAGTAGCCAGAACTTTCTCATCAAACAGGGAAAGCATCTTTCAAATGTAATTACTTGCCTTCAGGAGTAAGTGACAAACTGAATATAGTATTCACATCAGACTTTTCAATAAGCCACAACAATTCCATCTAAATCCTTTTCCAAATGTAGTTCACTGAAACCTTATATCCAAAGATGTGATTTGTTAGTCAGCCCGGATATGCTAGACTCAACAACCCAAGCAGTATTAAAATAACGTCTAAAGGGACCATGGGAATTTACTCCTTTGCTAAGGAAACCCCACAATGACTGACTCAGCAGGTCTATCGAGACAATGAATAGCCCAACATCAACTCCCCTGGGCCTGCTACAAAATTTAGTAGACAGGCACCATAAAGTTTTATTATAGAACTCCACTATTTTTTTTCCTTAGATTTAAATGGATGATCGGCGGCATCATTCCAGGCAATTCAAACAAGGTTAAAGACATTAATACAGACATATGATCGCCTGATCACTATGTTCTGTCAAAGCTTTGAGTACAGGTAGAATTTTGTAACTCAAAGCAATTTTTCCACTGCTCTCATCTCTAGCAGGGCATTTCACGTATCCAGCATTTCAGAAGCAGAAGAGAATCTTTGCCTTATCTTTACAAGACTTAAAGGACTAGGAAACATAACCCCAGTTACTTTAGAGGGAAAAAGATGGGACAACACTTTCTCAGTCATTTGTACTAAACAACAACTTGTTAGCCAGCATATGAGAAAGAGCCTACTGAAAACATTGCTTTGTGTGTGGTTATGTGGGGAAAACTGTTTCCAAGAATACATTTAAAGCTGGTGCTTGTGACTACATAGACAAAATGCTTTCATGGAAAGAAACTCCTAAACCCCCTAAAATTTATACATACCTAATTCTTCCTTCAATAGCATCTATGTGAAGTTGCTTTTCACTTAACAGTTTCTTCAGCGATTCAACCTCCCTTTGTTTTTCAAGCAGTTCTTTTTGTAGGCGGTAATTTGTTTCCTCCAGAGTTTCACAGAAAGCCTAAAAGACAAATTTAAGAACATCTTCCATTTAATTTCAATGGACTGCCTTTATTGATTTTTCGTTTAGAAATATCCATCTGTAACAGAATTGTAGCTGCTTTTCTTTGTATTGACTGCCATAAAGAGCTACATAAACTTAAAAAAAAGTTTTGTCCTTAATAAAACAATGCCACTTTGCTTTGAACAATGAATTTATTATACTAAACTGCAATGCAAATATTTTATCGCATCATTTGTTTGTCTCACAAGAGACTTTATAAAGAGGTCTCTCTCCTTTGGTGCAGAGTTCCCAGTTTTGAACCTTTTTGCCTATATGGAACATCAGCTGAACTCCCTACTCCCCCTTTTGCTCATATAAGCTTTGCTTTCACATGACTTGCAAGTCAGTTTCAAAGTATCTAATTATTCCCAAGATGCTAGGAATATTTAATAAAGTGCACGTTCTTCTCTTACCCAGATAAAGACAAAGTTGTACAGTTCTGTACCAAATAGCTACTACAAATATGACAGTCATGAGAGTCAGAAGACCAATACAAAAACAGTTTGAAAAAGTTTAATGAAATGCTAAGAACGCTAACTACTCAACCATGATAAGTGTATGTTTGTATATTTGACAGTGAGCAACCTCTAAACTTAATGTGAAGAGCCAACGTATAATGCAATGTCCACTGAATGCAGGAAGTGACAGAAGCGTTGGCACAGAGCCTGCTGATCCATTACTGGAAAGAGCAAGTCTACCAACAGTAATGTGCAATTCTGATTTAATAATTTACATGTTCTCGCTAAATAAGAAACCCACGTAGGCGGCTTTCTTGGCTTAACATTGTGTGCAGCTAACCACTAATTCACAGAATCCACTGGATATAAACATTTTACATGAGCTCAGTTAAGAACAATGCTGTTAAGAGACTGTTGTCCTGAAGTTTTAAAATGGGCTACAAACATCAAGATACTATTCTTTGCTTTAATTGAAGCAGACTTAACTTCTTTAAAATGTTAAGTTTTCCTGTAATTATACAATTAAAACAAATGTAGTGTTTTTCAATCCAATAACCATTTTCTTTTTTTTTTTGCACCAAGTTTTTTATTGACTCAGATAGCAAATTTATCTTGGTTGACAGGCATTGAAGACCAACCATGAGTTAAGCCACAGCTTTATTCACGTCTACTAGAGCCGAGAACATGTGGCATGCAACTTATTCTTCACACAGCATTTTTAGTGATTGCTTTAGCAATCATTCCAGTTAAACAGTCATCCTGTTTCATCCAAGCCAGTTAAATGAATTCTAGTGTATTTTGTAAAACTGTTCAGGGTTGCTGGTGCCCTAGCTGAAAACTGGCCATTATTTCCTTAAGAATATAATTAAGTCATATTATTTCTACCTTTAGATTTATGCATATGCAAATTTCCCTTTCACAGAATAACTAAAAATATTCCATATGTTGTGAACTGTTTCATTGTTCTATATGAGAACTGAAGAAAGCCTTTTGGAAAAACTCATCTCTAGCTGTAATCTGTATATCAGCTGCCCAAGGAAAGGAAGTCACTGACTAAGAAAACATCAACATATTCTGAAGGATGCTGTGATAGCAGAAAGGTGAACAAAAGCTGAGAAAGACTTAGCAGGGAATTGTGTATAATGAGGTATCTTGCTCCTTGAAGAGCTGGACACCTGGAGTCTGGTACAGCATCAGCTGCCCAAGGAAAGGAAGTCACTGACTAAGAAAACATCAACATATTCTGAAGGATGCTGTGATAGCAGAAAGGTGAACAAAAGCTGAGAAAGACTTAGCAGGGAATTGTGTATAATGAGGTATCTTGCTCCTTGAAGAGCTGGACACCTGGAGTCTGGTACAGTTCTAAAACCCAGGTGGGACCAATTTTCCCTGTAAGTTCTGAAAGGGCAACAGAACTAGGCCAGGTGGAAGAGAGTTTCACTTCCTTCTTCAGTGGATCATAGAATCATTAAGGTTGGAAAAGACCTCTAAGATCATCGAGTCCAACCGTCAACCCAACACCACCATGCCCACTAAACCATGTCCCTAAGCGCCTCATCTACATGTCTTTTAAATACCTCCAGGGATGGTGACTCAACCACTT